TGAATTAGGACTGGGTCTGCTTCTCCAGGACTTGAACCTTACAGGGACCCTGGAACTCTTCCGGGAGAATCCCCATTGTTACAGTTGGGTACACTGAGACCCAAAGAGGGAGAAGAGACCCAAAGAGCAGAGTGAGACTCCTTGGGGCGTTGGATTCAGTTGTCCTTAACTTATGTCTGCCCCAGGCACAATGCACCTCTCTCAGTGTCTGCCTGCTCCCTCCGGCAGCCCCCACTCCCTACTGTGCTCCTGGCTGCCCCCCTCACATTTCAGGCCCTGGGCATCAGTGTCTCTCTGCCTACCCCGCTGGCCAAGAGGTATTTGGGTGAGGCTGGCCTGGGACACACCACCCAGGATCTGGAATGGGCACTGCCCAGCAAGGAGAGTGCTGCCTCCTGACCTGCCTGTTGCCCCTCTAGCTCCGCCATCGACAAGCGGTCAGGGGAGAAGGTGGCCATCAAGAAGCTGAGCCGGCCCTTCCAGTCGGAGATCTTTGCCAAGCGGGCCTATCGAGAGCTGCTGCTGCTGAAACACATGCAGCATGAGAACGTAGGCTGGGCCTGGAGCTGCTGGGGAAGACAGGGAAGAGAGGGGGCCCCAGAGAGGATCCCGACCAGGCCCCGCTGTGTGTGCACACAAGGTGGCCGGAGAGGGCACAGAGAGCTCAGGACAGGCCCAGGAGAAGGGGAAACTCTTCCCTGCTCCTCCAATTCTTGTTCCTGCCTCATTATCTACTTCCAGGAAGGGTGCGAAGGGTATGTTGGCAGTGGATCAAAACGAGCTTGGTGAGGTGCAAACTTCCTATCTCACTATTAGGAGGAAATGGGCACAGAGGAACTTTGTAGTTTGTTCTAGGCCTAAGAGCTGGGGCCCCAAATCCAGGTTAATGTTTTCACATGTGACCCTGATAATAACAGTAATAATAGATACTTATTGAGCACTTTTTATGTGCCAGGCACTGTTTTAAGAGCTTTGCATAAACGAACTAGTTTAATCCACACAGTATCACATAAGTACTATGACTTCCATGTACAGATAGGGAAACTGAGGCATAAAAAGACCCACAGGTCATATGGTTAGCCAGTGGCAGAGTTGGGACTTAAACCTATGCAGCCTGGCTCCAGGCCTCAGTGCATAACCATTAGACTGTCCTATCTGACAGAAATAACTAGGAAAACGAGTGACCCAGTATTGGGCCTGGCAAGCAGGCTTTGTTCTTGAATATCTAGATTGGAAAGCAAACATTTAAAATAATGTTTCAAATTTTTATGCACGTTTTAAGCCCTGTTCCTCTTCAGCAGCCTCCCCATGGTGTCTTGCCCCTGGCTCTGAACTAGCCCTTTGGCAGGCAAGAACGGATTTGATAGGAGACCCAAGGTCAAAGGCAGGGAGCCTGCTAGCTGGAAGGCCCCTTCCCTGTTCCCGCCTTGATTCCCTTCCCCACTCCTGGGTCCCTGCTTGAGTTGCGAGTAGGTTTGTGCTACTTGCCCTGAACACCAGACTTGGAGGCAGTGAGCACACCTCCCCTTCTCTCCAGCCTGATTCTCCATCGCTATGCACCAAAAGCTCCCTCCCAATTAGGGGGATTCCTCTCTGGCCTCTGCCCCTTTACTGCTTCCAAGAAGGCTGGGATCCTGCCTCCTGCTGGAGATGATGTATTAGGAAAGGGTGGGTGGTCCTGTGTATGGCTGGCCCCAGGGGAGGCATGGCGGGGGCTGCCCAGCCCTCACTGGTAACCTTCTCCCCAGGTCATCGGGCTCCTGGACGTCTTCACCCCAGCTTCTTCCCTTCGCAGCTTCCATGAGTTGTGAGTCGGGCTGCGCTGGGTTCCTGGGTATTGCAGGCCTTATTCATCACTCTGGAGCAAGTTGGGGGAGGGTCCAGATTCTCTCTTCTGGGTAGGGGGCTTCCTGCCCTGGCAGTCCCGGTGCTGCTGAGGTGTGATTCTCTGGGGGGGGAGAATCCTTTCAGCCAGGGGTAGAGAGAAGGGTAGGCAGGAATAGGTGGGAGGGGCTTTGTGGGGTGCTTGCCTGGCACAGAGCTGTCTGCTAGGTGCTTTGCGTGTTACCCAGATTTAACATCACCAGAACATCGTTGCCAGACCTCACAGGGTTTGCACCAACTCACTTCACTATTCCCTAGGGGCCCAGGTGTGGGTCTGCATCTTGGGGCTCTTTCTAGCATGAAGCAAGGATCAGGAAGCCTTGGCCACCTCTGGCGAATGGGGTGTTTGACAGTTATACAGAACCCTAAAATTTAGTTGCTAAATGCATGGTTTTGCTAGTGCAGAGCCTGGTTTGAAATTTAGAAAGTTTTGGGAAGGTGGATTTTTTTTTCCCAATCCTATTTCAAATGCTCTGAATGCTTCTTTGTTACCATGCTTTTGTTTTAAATGTAATGCAGTNTACCCAGAGAGGCAGTGTCTTACCTAAGGTCACACAGCAAATCTGAGGCAGAGCTAGAATCAGAGCCCAAGCCTCTGTCATGGCAGGGAGCCCTACTAGTGTCGTCTGGATTTCCTTGACTCTGACAAGGGTCGTGGGGCTCCTGAGGATGATCCCTGTGTCCTGGTGTTGAATGTTTCCATGGAAGGGATGAGCAAGCAAACCCAGTGGCCTCTGCTCTTGAAGGGCAGGTTGTTGAGGTGGCCTTCAGGGATAGCAGCCTCCCTGTCTGAGGCAGGGCACATAGGAGCCCAGGTAGGGCAGTGACCTTGTTACCACCACTTAGCAGTCACTGGAGAGCTGGGACTGCCCCAGGCATGAAGGTGAGTTCGGCCAACCTACCAGTTGCAAACAAGACAGAGATGCACAGTAATAACAGTAGCTTCCATCTATAAAGCCCCTTCTACATACCTGCCATTCAATCAGTCACTATAGGCCAGGCACTATTCTAGGTACTTGGGATTCAGCAATGCACATAGTAGCTAAAACCCCTACCCTCGTAGACCTGATATTCTATATATAGAAGAGGGTAGACAGATGATAAAGTAAGACATTGAGAGATATATAAGGGCTTGAAGGAAACTGAGGCCAGGTAAGGTCAGTGGGGCATGGCTTGTGATGAGGTCAGGGAGGACGCTCAGAGGAGGTGGCCCAGGAGCAGTCCTGAGGACGGGAGGGAACACCAGGCACAATGCTTGCAACCTGCACCCACAGTCTCATCAAACCCTCCTGCTAGGTCGGTGATGCTCTCCCGTTTTATTGATTAGGAACTCAGAGACATGCACTCACCTTCTCAAGGTCACACAGCTCTAAGTATTGGCATGAGATTCAAGCCTAGCTCTGCCTCCCAGTCCTCGGCTACTCTCCACAGGCTCGCAGGACCACATGTTCACCGAAGAATGTGGATGTCACAAAGCCTGGGCGTGTGTGACGGGGCAGTGGAGTCATGGGGTAAGAAGGGTACATACAGGAGTCCTGGGGTGGGCAGGTCTGGGGTTCACTCCAGAACACCCCCTCAAAGAGGTGAGTGTGGAGCTGAACTGTAATGACCAACAAGGAGGGGTAATTCCAAAGGAGGGAGTGTCTGGCTTATGTAGAACCTCATTGGGAATGGTGAGGGNGCTCACTGTAGAACAATTTAGGGGGAGATGATGAGGAAACCGAGGAAGATGACTGAGTGGGATGAGGACTGAAAGGTGGCACGTCCAGGAGCATTTGTGGGAAGGGACGCTTACTCTGGCCTGGAGGGGGCAGCCTCCCAGAGACCTGAGTCCTGAGAGACCAGCCGCCTGTCTTGAAGCAGGAGGAGGTTAGGTGGGTCTGGAGCCTGGGTGGTCACCATAGGGCCTGGGTGGCAGTGATGGAGGGCCGGTGGGAAGGGCAGCTTCAGATCTGCCAGCAGAGTGAGGCCAAGCCTTAACCCGCTTCCAAGACCTGGACCAGCTGACCCAGATCCTGAAAGTGACCGGGGTGCCGGGCACAGAGTTTGTGCAGAAGCTGAATGACAAAGCGGTGAGTGGCAGATGGGCCTCGGCTGACCAGGGGCAGGTGGGCTTCAGGCCTTTGGGGGGCAGGAGGACTCCCCTGTGCCTTCCTCTGCCCTGGCAGGTGCTCTTGTCTTTGTCCCACTTTGGACTCTGACCAGAGCCTTCAGCCCTGCTGAGGCTTTTCTGGCGTCCTTGCTGTATACCCCAAGGCCCGAGCCCGGAGGGGTTTCAGTGCTTTTCTGTCTTTCAGGCCAAAGCCTACATCCAGTCCCTGCCACAGAGCCCCAAAAAGGATTTCTCTCAGCTCTTTCCTCGCGCCAGCCCCCAGGGTGAGTCTTGGGGCCTGTCTTCTGCGTGCTGTCCCGGTAGGCAGGCCTGGCTCTCCTGGGCCTGCGTGTGAGGCTCATACTCTTGGCTTCAGCCGCAGACCTGCTGGAGAAGATGCTGGAACTGGACGTGGACAAGCGCCTGACAGCCTCGCAGGCCCTCACCCACCCCTTCTTTGAACCCTTCCGGGACCCTGAGGAGGAGACAGAGGCCCAGAAGTTTGATGATTCCTTAGAACATGAGAAACTCACAGTGGACGAATGGAAGCGTAAGAGCTAGGGCCTTGGGTTCCTTCCTCTCTGCTGCAGCCTCTCTCTCCTTTGCCTCCTTCGTTTTCATGCCTGGCCTCAGCCAGCCCCTCTCTCTCTGGAGACTGCTGCCTCCTCTCTGCATGGATATTGCCTCCTGCATCTGTTTCTTTCTTCCCAAGCTGACTTCCTACTTTGCTCTGTATCTGTGGGGGCAGGCCGCAGGCCCTCCTTGCCCTCAGCAACCCTGACCCACCTCGAACCATGCTGCCTTTCTCAGAGCACATCTACAAGGAGATTGTCAACTTCAGCCCCATTGCTCGGAAGGACTCGCGACGCCGGAGTGGCATGAAGCTGCAGTGACTTGTCCAGCCAACCCCTGGCTGAGCCTGGGGACCACCACATGGCATCACCTGCCCCGAGGACCAGTATTTATTTGTTGCTACTAAAGTTTTCAACCCATCTTGGATTATAGCCTTCCACGCAGAGGACAGAAGGGCCCTGCTTCCTTATGTAGGAAGCAGAATTCAAAGATGTTGGTTGGAAGAAAATAGCTCTGGTTGTAACCACCCACATTAAACACCCATGTGGATAATCGCCTGTGTGTGGGGCCCTTTCCTTCTTGGCTGTAGTGGGGCTGAGGGGGGTAGGCTGAGCCGCGGCAGGGGTCTACAACAATGATGGTATATTAGTTTGCTAGAGCTGCTGTAACAAATTACAACAAATTGGATGGCTTAACCAACAAAAAGGTATGTTCTCACAATTCTGAAGGCTAGAAGAGTGAAATCAATGTGTTAGTATGGCCGTGCTCCCTTAGAAGTTTCTAGAGAAGAATCCTTCCTTGCCTCTTTGTAGCTTCTGGTATCTCCCGGAATCTGGTTGTCCCTGGCTTGTAGCTGCATCAGTCCATTCTCTGCCTCTTTCACGTAGCCGCCTCCCCTCTTATAAAACACCAGCTATTTAATTGAGGGTCCACCCGAATCCCGTAAGACCTCATCTCAGTCTTTACTAGTGATATCTGCAAAGACCTTATTTCCAAATAAGGCCACATCCTGAGGGTCTGGGTGGACATGACTTTTTGGGGAACCTTCTTCAACCCACTACAGATGTCTACGAGGGAGGGCCCTTTCCTAAGCCCGGCACTCGGTCACAGGGCCAAGTGTGTTGGGGCGCTAGGTTAAAAAAGCTGCAGAGAGCTGCCGCTCGTGAGACACTGCATGCAGATTATTTTGGGTGAGCAATAAGCAATCGAGATATGAAACGACAGCAGGCTTCTTGACTGGGAGCTGCAGAAGGCAGAAACGGGCTTTTTCCAGGCCTTGCGGAAAACTGTTCTGCGCCTTTTTGTTAGGAACGAGCCATCTCGGCCCAGCTTTAATCTGACAATAGCTAGGAGCCTTCTGTTTAGGTTGGAAAAACGTTGGTAGAATGAATTCCCCTACGCAAGGAGCCAGGAGCCCCGTAGTTCCTGCCCTGGGCCCAGTGAGTCTCAAACTTCCCCATACACCAGGGGCCTGGTTAAAATGCAGATTCCTGGCCCCCACCCCAGGGATCCTGATTTAGTGGGTCTGGGGTTGAGACCCTAGAAGGCTTGAATGAGGCCCACCACCCCTCAACCCGAGCCTAGTGATTCTGATGGCTACCAGGCAATGTTTAGAGAAACATTTAGCTGATTTCTGTACCGCTTAATTTGTCAAGAGGCCTAAATTAGGAACCTACAATGGGGGTTAGAGGAGCTTCATGCTCTTATCTTTATAGATGTTAAAAATGAGGCCCAGACAGGGCACTTTTAGGGCGGGGAAACTGTTCTGTATGATACTGTAATGGTGGGTACCTGACGTCATGCTTTTGTCCAAACCAGTAGAACTGCACAACGCCAAGAGGGAACCCTCAAGTGCACCGTGGACTTCAGTTACAATAATGAACCAATACGGGTTCATCATCTGTAACATGTGTCACTAATGCAAGATGTTAATAGGCGAAGATGGTGGGGACGGGGAGGGGTTTTATGAAACCTTCTGTACTTGGGGCACAACTTTTCTGTAAACCTAAAACTACACCCCAAAAATAATGTTGTTTTTTAAAGACTCAAATAATGTCTAATAAAAAAAAAGTTTTAAAAAGGAAAGAAAGAAAAACCCCTCGAGGCCACACTGTCCCCTCCCTGAGAGATCAGATACCCACAGCTAGGAAACAGTGGAGTCAGGATTTGAACCGGAGCAGCCCTGACCACTGTACAGGCTCTTCACACTTGGATGCAAGGGTTGCCTAGCCCGCCCTCCCTTCTGGCCTGCCTCTCAGCTCCTTACTGCTGCTTATGTCCATGGACTCTGTTTTCTCTCCCACAGAGTGACCCTGCTATCAAGAAGGGAGGCGTAGATAGTGGGAGGGGCTGGCCATGTCCTGCCATAGCCCTGACCTTGCTGGCTACTAAATCGCCCCAGGTCCCCTAAGTCTAAACCCCGCATGTAATTGCCTCCTGAGACACCTCACTGGCCCCAAGGGAAAAGACCAGCCTTCTTGGCCTGGCAGTCAAAGCCCTTTGCACTCTCTCTTACCTCATCAACCCCCACCGCCTCCCATTTTTTTTATGCCAGTGGGCCTGCCATGGACTCGAGTCCTGGGATACACTAAGAAGCTCACTCCGCACATCAGCAGGTTAAAGACTCTGATAAGTCCTACAGTAAAGAGATCTGTTCAGCATCGTTTCATCCAGAACTTCCCCAATGTACTTACCGACAGGACCCCGTTTTCTCTTGACAGTCATCACACACAGAGCCGCCTTTGCTCAGTGCACGGGTCCCAGTACCTCTTCTCCTCAAGCAGGCCTGAGGCATGGGCTTCTTTCAGAGCCTCTGTGCAGGAGGCCCTCCATCCCTCTCCTCACCGAGGAAAATCCTCCTTATCATCCAAGACTTTGCCTCAGGCCTCCCTCCAAGAAGTCGTTTTTCAACCTCCTTCCTCTGCCCTTCTGTGCATGGCATCTACAGTGTGTGTGGTTTTGCCTCCCCTCCCAGTGCTTCATGTGAGCCCCTGCTTGGAACAAATATCTGGGAAGAAATGAATGAGGGAATGAATGAATGATGTTGCAGGGTCCTGTGGGTCATTTCTCTGCCCCACCCAGACCAGCCTGGTATCAAGGGCAGCAGAGAACACAGCAGGAAGCAGAAGTGGTGGCCTAGGTCTGCACCTTGGAGTTGCCCCCCCTGAAAATCTACAGGCTCTCGGGCTCCCAGGCCTCTCCCATCATCACGCAGTGTCTGCCAGTCCAGCCTCTGCCTCAGAATTAAATTTCTGTGTGCTGCTTCAGCCCCTTCCCTACAATTATCTCAAACCTGGGAAGTTTCTCCAAAGAGGTGGGGGTGCTGAGCAGCGGGAAGGGGTTCATGGACCCCGGGCTTACCCTGTGAGCACATGGCCAGAGTGACAGGAAATGAGTCCATTCTCAGGCTGGAAGATCGCACTCAGCTCCTCTCACAGCTGGCCTGCAGGACCTCACGCAGGTCTGTACTCCCAGCCCTTGGCAGGCAGGGCTGGACTTTGCCCTGTGGTCAGTGGGGCAGCTCGAAGGGCCTTAACAGAGATAAGGAAGCCAGACTGGGGACAGTTCAATAACAGCTGTTGTGCCCTTGAAAGGTGTCCTTGCCCGATGGCACAGCTCCTCCCCCCAAAAAAGCCGGGGCCCTACCGCTGGGGCCTGGCCATCCGCGTCACCCAGGGCAGGGCTTGCCTGGCGTGTATAGGGGATGGGGTGCTGCTCCCAGTGAGGGGCAGCGCGTGGAAACTAGAGATGGAGGAACTGCCCTCACCACGGGAGCCCGGCGTGCACAGGTGCCTCTGCGCCTGCGAGGCTGGAGGCTTGTGTGAAAGAGCGCATGGCTTGGCTTTCACCTGGCACACTGATACAGTGTGGGGAGTTTTCTTTTCATGTCCCCCTGCAGCGCTACAACCACAGCTGAGGAGGGAGGAATCCATGGACACAAGCAGCAGGAAGGAGCTGAGAGGCAGGCCAGAAGGGAGGGCGGGCTCGGCAACTCTTGCATCCAAGTGTGAAGAGTCTGTACGGTGGTCAGGGCTGCTCCGGTCCAATTCCTGCCTCTTCTTCCTTCCTCTTGGCTTTTGCATCCTTACATTCAGTTGAAACAATCTCCTAAGAACCAATGCTGGGAGGCTCCCTTCTCCTTATTCCACAGTGAGCTCGGGCTCTCTCCTCATTCTCCCTAAATCCCACTGTGATCCTTTTTCACAATGGGCAGCAGAGGCCCAAGGCCATTCCACTAAACTGAAGATCTCAGTGAGCTGTCGCTGTCCACGCCTCACCCCCACGCCCCACCCCCGGCTTCTTAGAGCAGGTGCGGCACCAGGTCGAATTCTGGTCTGAATCCTCCTGCAGGACCCTGCAGACAGCAGCTGCCCTCACTCTGGGCCAGGGTGTCAGCAAGGCCCCTCTGGGCCTGGGGATCTTGACCTTTTTTGGGCCGTGGATCCCTTCTCAAAGTAATATTTTCGGGGTAAGGGGGACAGTGGGACGGCGGATTGGAGGAGGGGGTTGTCACTTTGTGAGGGGTAAAAAGTATAACTATTGCACTGTTTTGTACACCTGAAACTAATTAATAATAATAATAATTTTAAAAATAATATTTTCATATGCATAAAATAAAATACACAGGTTTCCAAAGGAAGGGTCAGCTATGTTGAAATACAGTTGTGAAAATATTTGTTTAAATGTGTGATGTTGTAACACATGGGTTTTTTAATTATCACATTAAATAACAAGATGTAGGGGTGAGCCAAATAAACCACTGTAAATGTGAAGTAGAAAGGAGCGTACATGATGTTTCGAGATAGCTGCGGCAACAGGAAAGGGAAATGAAGAGCTCGTGCTGCCTTTACTCACATAGGAGAAACGGAGGTGAGTGGAAGCGAAGTAATATTTTCCAATCCAAGTTCATAGACCTCTGAGTTACAGTGTACCGTCTATGCTTCATGGACCCTTCAAGACCCTTGTTTTGGATACTAAAATGTGAGTTCAGGTATCCTCTGCTGTTCCCTAACTGACCCTCCAACCTCCATCTTGTTTGTGCATGCAGCCAGGTTGGAAACATCCAGATCTGCAACTGGACACCTATTACCCCTCCCCCCAGTCCCTTGTGGTTCCCAACCTCACTATCCAGGTAGGAATGGGTCTGCCTGGGACATCTTGCTAGGGAATTTGCCCAGGCCTCTGTACCTAGTTTGCTAACTGGGTAGAATTCTCCCATCCCCATCCCACAGCGTTCCCTCAAAACAATTTTACCGATGATGACATTTGGGCCCAGAGTAGGATTGGGGCCCAGGTCCCCTTCTCTTAACACTGCACTGTTCTCTCTGCCGTAACAGTGGCACGATCGCTCATTGAGATTAATGTGCAGTTTTCTCTCCCTGTGTTACTTTCCCTGTCCCCACAGCCACCACGGGCATAAAGACAGCCAGGCCTAGAGACAGGCTTGTGTTAACTGCCCGAGAGAAGAAGCTACCAGAAGAAACTTGTTTCTCTCTGCTTTCCTCACCCTGAGACTATTTTGCTAGGACTCCAGGAGGGTATGAAGGAGGGAAGTACA